ACTAAAAGATAAGGGAAGAAAGTCAAGGTCCGCGGACACCAAGCAACTACCTCGATAATCTCCAATGGTCTGGACTATACAAATCAGCAATCGCCGTGACCGGAAGCACCTGCATCTGCACACGAGGTGCAGGGTGTAGCGTGAGTACAACTAACTTAATAAGTAACAAATCTAATCTTTAGACCGAAGGTAGTGACGAATTCAAATGTTATAGCCCACTTTCAACATTTAACAGTACGGAAAGTTATAAAAATATGACAGTGATATCTCAAAAATTCATAGTCTACAAGTAAAGGTACAAGAATTTAGCATGCATTCAGATTCACAACAAAACTTAACACAAAACATGGCAGATCCAACCAAGGGCAGATCCAGCCCGAATACAAGTAAACCAGGCCAGATCCAGCCTTAATGCAAATAAACCACGACAGATCCAACCTAAATGTAAATAACTGCTAGCATTGCGCCCACTAGGGTGTGCATACTCCGAAAGAGCCGATTCAGCCCAAGCGCTATAATAAGCCAAATCCTGGTATGAATCAATAAATTCTACTGCAGCGTACAACCCGATTCCATGAATATCACTCACAATAGACCCTTAGCCTCACTTAGTCAATAAGCTCTCCAGTCTCTCAGGCTCACCAGAATCATGATAAATCAACCTAAATAATAGTGATATGCTGTATCAAATAAGGATAATAGAGACTGAGACATATTATGCAATTAATAAGTATGACTGAATACAATTTGACAAATTAAGCAAATAATTCAACATGTGAAACGACCTCTGTGGATACCAACAGTACCAATACGTAGCATAAACAGGATTTCTAGCATGACTGCTAGCTCAGTAGCTCTAACACATGTTGAGAATACGGGTAACAACAAGATTAATCAACTATTCAGTTACATGGAATCAACAAAGTCACAATTCTTTTGGTGCACACCTACGTGTCTGTCACCTAGAACATATGTCACCTCAACACCAATTACATAACATGAAATCTGGGGTTTCATACCTTCAGAACCAAGTTTAGAAGTGTTACTTACCTCAAACCGTGCAAATCTCTACTCCAACACGCCCTTATCTCACAAAACGGCCTCTGAATGCCTTGAATCCATCCAGAAACAGTTCGATACAATCAACACGTGCTAAAGGAATCAATTCCATAAGAAAATACTAAGTTCTGAATCAAAATTAAAAAGTCAACTAAAAAATTAACCCCCGGACCCATGTCTCTAAATCCAATAAAAGTCACAAAATCCGGAAGCTCATTCAACCACGAGTCCAACCATACTAATTTTACGAAAATTCAATGCCAAATTGTCACCCAAATCTCTAGGTTCAAACTCCCAAATTATACCTCAAAATGACACAATCTAGGTGGGAAATTTAATGGAAAAACATAATTATTGAATAAATTTAACCACAAGTTAGTTACCTCAAGAATCTCTTCGAAATCCCTCTCAAAAATTGCCTAATCCCGAGCTTGAAATGTTCAAAAATGATAAAAAAAAAAAATCGTGAACCCTTGAACTAATATGCACTGCCAGTGGTTCTGCTTCTACTGTCCATAAATCCGCTTCTACGGTCCTATATCCCGCTCCTACGGGTGCGCACCTGTGCAAGCCTATCCGTTTTTGCGGACCAGTGACTCCAACTCCCTCTCAGCTTCTACGACTATCCTCCGCATCTGCGAGATCACATGTGCGATATTTTTCCTCGCACCTATGAAACCACCTACACTTACCCAGAATCGCATTTGCGACCCCATGACCTTTTCTACGGTTCCACACCTGCGGCCTATCCCTCGCAGGTGCGGTTGCACGAGACCTGATCACACCAGTTCCTTCAAAACTCCAAAATCTAATTCGAGTTTAATCCGAATCACTCCCGAGGCCCCTGGGACCTCAACTAAATATACCGACAAGTCCTAAAATACAATACGAACTTAGTCGCGACTTCAAATCACATCAAACAACACTAAAACCACAAATCACATATCTATTCAAGCCTAATGAACTTTTGAACTTCTAACTTCTATATTCGATGTCGAAACCTATCAAATCACGTCTGATTGACCTCAAAATTTGCACACAATTCACAAATGACAAAACGGACTGACTCAAACTCCTGGAACCTGAATTGATCCCGATAACCACAACGTCCACTCTCGGTAAAACTCTTAAATTTTCAACTTTCACCATTTCAAGCCTAGTTCCACTACGGACCTCCAAATCACAATCAAGACACATCCTATGTCCAAATCACCCAATGAAGCTAACGGAACCATCAAAACTCCATTCCAGAGTCGTTTACATACAAGTCAACATCCGATCAACCATTTCAACTTAAGCTTCCAACTTTGAGACTAAATGTCTCAACTCATTCTAAAACCTCTCCGGACCCGAACCAACTACTTCGGCAAGTCACATAAAAATAATTAAGCAGGGAATGAGCATTAAATAAGGGAACGAGCTACAACTCTCAAAATAACCGATCGGGTCATTATACACATGCCAATATTACAACCCGCACATGGCACCTTGTGCCAACATTATCAATAATAACCACACAGATAACTCGCGTGCCGCACTGACAACTTATGTGCCAATATTACAATCCACCTCGCATGGTCACAAGCTCACTATCACAATCCACTCGGTGTGATCACATGCTCAATATCCCAATTCTTCCAATGTGGTCCTGGGCTAACAGTCCAACCATATCGCAAAGAAAGCAGATATACAATAATACTTGTGCATGATTAATGATCATTAAGTTTCATACTCATAAACTGGTATAAATGACAAGATATAGTATATGCATGTGCAAGTGTACTATCACACCTTAAGTTAACAAGAAAAATTAGAGACACCAAGTAGCACATTGAAAACAACACAACAAATTACGTAATATGCATTACAAACACAAAGAAGTCACACCACCACACGAATATCACCAATAACAAGCCCCCAGGCCATAACATATTATCCCTAATGTAGCCCACTTGTCTTACCGCGCGTGCAATAATAAAATAAATGCCCGCCTTGTCTCGTCACACGCACATCAATAATTATCTCACCTTGTCTTGCCACATGCTCAAACCCGATATATATACATATAGCCCGCCTTGTCTCGCTGCATATGCAAATATAAATAATAACAATAGCACGATAAAAACCTCGTGCAAACACTCCAACAATCCTCTCAATAATTCCACATGTGTCAAAGTCACAATCAATATAACATATCAATTCAGGTGCCCATATGCCACATCATTGCTAAAACAACAATACCAAAATTACAACAACGCATAGCCCACAACTTAATGACAATACATGCAAGAGTATCAATAACAACACAATGAAACATAATTAACTCAACAATAAAAGATATTTTCATAAAAGATAACTTCAATTGAAACATGTTAATAGCTCCCAATAACTACAACTCCAATTAAATGCATATGGATAAACTCAACAATAAAACATATGACATGTAATAACAACCTCAATTAAATGCATATAGGAGTAAACTCAACAATGAAATATAGAATATGTAATAAAAACTTCAATTAAAGCATATAAGAGTAAACACAGCAATGAAATATAGAACATGTAATAACAACTTTAATTGAAGGCATATAAGAAATCTAAGAGTCTAAAACGGTCAATTTTCACATATAAGATCATGCACACACTCGTTACCTTGTGTATACGTCTTCCATATAATTCAAATAGTGCAATTAACCAAATCCTACTTGGTAGTTTTCCCCACACAAAGTTAGATAAGATACTTACCTCAAAAGTCCTCAATCAATACTCTAAAAATGTTTTTCCTCTAATATTCACCTTTGCTCTTCTCAAATATAACTAAAATTGACTTAATAATATCAAATAATTCAAGGGAAACCAATTCCAATAAATAAAGTTAAGATCTTTACATAGTTCCGTAAAAGTTAACAAAAGTCAACCGGGGCTCGACTAGTAAAAATCTGAGTCCAAAAGTAGATCTCGACTAACCATAAGCCACAATCCTATATATGTATTTTATTTTCAAATCCGAGTCCAATTCGACTCTCAAATCTAAAATTTTTATTTTTTTAAAACATAAACAAAATCCCCCCAAAATTTCTTAGATTTCATGAATTAGATGTTAAATCTCATAAATAATCATGTAATATAACTAAAATAGGATAAAAATCACTTGCCCAATGACTGTGTGTGGGAACCTAATTTTTTTCCCGCATGGAAATAACTCCTAAAAATAGACCAAAAATAATTTTAATGGATTTTATGAGTTTTTCATTATTTAGTTGAATTTTATGCATTTTAATATATTCAAATCATAGAAAAAAAACCATAAAAATTATCACATTTTAATTTCATGTCATCTTAGGTTTAATTTACATTTAGGAATTAATTACATTGAGTTAATTGCATTATCAATCAAAATCACAAAAAATAATACTACATTGGTCATTTTGTTTGTATGTTCAAATTAATTAGTTTAAATTGATTCACAATTTTAGTGCCTTAGTGATGCAAAATTGGATTATTAAACTAAGAGGTTAATTTTAAAAGAAGAGGATTTAATTGATTTTTGAATTGGGTTAATCTTGCAAAGGAAAATAGGTTTGCTTATTGAGGCCCAGAATTCCAGCGGCCCAAAACCCCAATCTTCCGACCCGCCTAACCCATTTTCCCTTTACCTACCCATTAAAATAAGGAAATTTTACCACCTATAGAATAGCTTAGTACCCTATTTATATTCTATAAATACCCTTTTAAAATATTACATTCTATAAATACCCTTTTTAGTTTATAGCAAAAAATTTAAATTTAGTTCCATCCTAAAATTAAGGCTTAATATATGCTACAAAATATTTTTCTATCTCATTTTTTTTATTTTCTCTCACCTAATTAGCGTATATCTCCTCTCATCAGCTTTTCTCTCTCTTCTTCAATACAATTTTCTCTCTTCTCCCACAAACACACGTTCCATACACTTCAAAAACCCTCCTTCGCCATTATCGCGTATACTTCTCCGCCATTATCACCCCACACGCCATTCTTCTTCGCAACTGTTCTCAAGCGTATTTTGACGGGCAAGTTGGTTCTCAAGTGTTTTTTAGAGCTTCACAGTTGTATTTTGGCAATCTTCTCCCCGTAGGTAATTCAATTACTTCGAAATTGCTTTTTCATTAGTTTGTTTCTATAAGTTTTTTTAGCGAATTTACACAATTTTCTGATATATCTTCCATTTGTATTGTTAATCACCAGGATTCTTTGAGTTTTCTCTCTAATGTCGGATGCAACGCCACTCAACAGACTACCCAGAGGTATACCCACCAAAATTCTCTATTTTGATGGGCCCTCTTTCTCGTTGCAACTGACTCAAGCGGAGAAAGATTTTGCAGGTTTATCAGCATCCAAAGTTGATGAAAGAAGAAGTAAATTACACAATGACAAGTTGAAAGAAGTCCAAGTTGATGAAGCTTCAAAAGAAACCAAAAATCAAGTTGGCTCAAAGAGGAAAAAACCTATGAAAGATTCAAGAAACCAAAAGGTAATTGGTATTTGTTACATGTATTCTGTTGTATTCATATGTATCTTCTTGTATTTTTGTACCTTTTTGTATAGTGTATTCTGTTTCTTCTATAGTATGTTTATGTATTCATGTGTATTTGATTGTTTCCAAAAGTTCATTTTTAATGTAATCTTACCTGTATTCATATGTATTCATGTGTATTTAGCGTTTGCTAATGTATATTTGCGATAATTCAATTGTCCAGTTTGACCTCAAATGTATTCATATGCATTCATATGTATTCAGGTGTATTCATCTTAAATATTTTGTATTATATCTGTATGTTACAAAGTATGTTAGCATATATTTAGCCTTGTCACTGTATCTAGTCTTCTGTAAGTGTTTGTAGTTGTCTGACATGCATTTGGCTTTGTCACTGTATCATGTCTTACATGTATTCCAAAAAATCTTAATATGTATTTTTGCAATGTATTCATCTGTATTAACATGTATCTTTCAATGTTCATTGCAGGGAATTGATTTGTTTGTGAAACACCAGCCAAAATTAGCACCCCATATTAGTAGTTACACTAACACTGATATAGTATCCCAGCTAAAAGATAAGCTTACTCCCGATCAGTTCCAACAATTCGGCAATACATGCTTTGGCTCATTTCTTCAAATGAAGCGATTTGATGTTCAACATCAACTCTTCAGATGCTTCATGGCTCGACAGTTAAACGGCACTCCAAACAATGTATTTGCAGTATACGTCAATGGTACTGAATTACATTTCACATTAAGGGAGTTTGCGCTTGTGACTGGCCTCAAATGTGTAGGTAAAGATGAAGATTTTGAGTTTAGTGAAACTCCTCCTAACCGGCTTATTGCGACTTATTTTGGAAGTGCTAATATTGTAAAGAAGAAACACTTGAGACAATGCTTCAATGACAAGGCATGGGGCCCCGACAATGATGAGGATGCTTTGAAGATATCTTTGTTGTATTTCATCCACACCTTTATATTTTCATCTGAGAAGAATAGTGCAACTATACCGAGGCTAGATTTTTACTTAGTAGAGAGTGGGCGCTATTCTGAATATTACTGGGGTATTAAAGCATTTGAGCTGTTGATAAACTTGATTAGCAAGAAGATGGATGCTTTGAAGAAGTATTACAGGATAGCTGGGATGCCCCTAGCTATGCAGGTGTGGTTTTATGAGTGTTGTTCTTCTGTTGATTCCAAAATTGCAGTCCGAGTCTGCGACGTGGTCCCCAGAATACTCAATTGGAGAACCACCGGAAATCAGCCAACATTTTCTTATCTGACGAACGACATGTTCAAAGACACCGGAAACACGGTAATATACAAATGTTATCAATATTCTGAAGATAATTGAACACAAATACATCTATAATTTGCATACATTTGCATTCAGTTAGAGGGGAAGCCTACTGTAATATACATTGGATTCATAAGCTTATATACATGAATACTTGCATACATATTAATACATTTTAATACATTCTAAATACAACAGAGTTAAATACACCTGAATATAGCATTATACAGTTATGCATTAATATGTTTTTTGTA